CCAGAAGAAACAAATATGCATTCATTAGATGCAGAGTGAATCGTTATTATATGATATTTTAATAGCCTTTTATAATAAAATTCATCATTTTTGACAGACTATACACATATATATATATATATATGCACCACGTTCTACCTTCTAAAAGATCACTTCTTTGGAGAAATACGTTTCACCTTCTGCCTTCTATGAGACTACTTCTCTCCAGCAATACGTTTCACCTTCTGCCTTCTATGGGACTACTTCTCTCCAACAATACGTTTCACCCTTTTCTTTCTATAGGACTACTTCTCTCCAACAATACGTTTCACCTTCTGCGTTTTATGGGACTACTTCTCTCCAGCAATACGTTTCACCTTCTGCCTTCTATAGGACTACTTATCTCCAGCAATACGTTTCATCTTCTGCCTTCTATGGGACTACATTTCTCCAACAATACGTTTCACCTTTTTCTTTCTATGGGACTACTCCTCAACAACACGTTTCACATTTTGCCTTCTAAAGGGCCATTTCTCTAGAATAATAAACTTCATGTATTTGTTGTTTTTTTATCACTGTGTTGTCTGCTCACCTAGATACATGTGACTAAAGCGTCTCATCTTCTTAGTCTTGATTTGCGCAAAATGAAAAGATGCCACATTCCAAGTAACTAAATAACCTATTCGTTAGCGCTGTGTTCGCTGTATGGAATTCTGCAGGATTTCCTGTGGCACCGCATATTTGAACCTTCCAGCCACAAACAAAACACATTCTTCAGCGTCCACGCTCTGCACCAGTACGATACAGATGGTGTTTTGTGATTTGACCTTTTAATGAGTTAAAAGTGTTTTAAATATTTGATATTTTTGGCAAAACACTTAACTGCTCTGGTCAGTTTTCCTATTTTATCACTGTGTTTAGACGTTTGTGATTTGACCTTTTAATTAAATTGCGGAAAATGTTTCAATTTTTTTTTCTTTACAAAACACTTAACATTAATTCTTTTGTTTGTAATTAATATACACATATTAGATATGGAATACAACAGCATTAAAAAAACTGTTATTCGTACATGAAATAGTTACATTTTATTACACTTAAAAACGAGAAATTAATATATAAAGTTGTGTCTCTTGTGTTTAATGAATACGTAAGACGGTTTTAAAATGCGAGTGCAGATGCTAAAGTTGATTGTTCCGCTTTAAAGATCTCAGACCATACAGAATTTTGAACTAACCCACATCCTCAATGGTGGCGCCACTATTCATTTTCACGTACTGGGAAGCGGGAAGCCAGGTGCTTTGCGTGCACGACTTAGTTCATACATTCCTGAGTTAGAGGGCACTCACAAAAGAAGAACGTGAGTTGTGGTCATCCTTCTCGCAAATTCTTCAGAGGTCTAGTTTCACGTTATTTGTATTTTCTGTTACATTGTGAACTCTCACCTGTTATTCCTTTTAATTTTGGACTCTTAAATAATTAGCGGTGATTTAAAAGGCGCATGTAATTTTAACTTGCGTTAGCTTTCTGAGACTTTTGATCCAACACAACTTGTTCAAACATCGATACAGGCTTTTTATTGTTGTTAAAGAGAAACAGATCAGTGGAATAATGTTACTTCTGGGAGAAAGAAGCACCAGTTTTTCTGAGCTGTAAAACTTGTACTGGGCTTATATCTTGAGCACGAAGTTGCGCTAAACAGGAAAGAATTGGATGGATTAGCTAGTTACCACGTGACTCCAATAAGCACTATCTCTCCAGTAAAACACTTGATGCAATCGTTGTCTGTTTAGTGTAACAACCGACTGTTGGATGATATTATAAAAAGAAAAAGGTAAGAATTAAGTATTGTGCAGATTTGATAAAAATAGTCTTTTTTTATATTATTCCAGAGCTGGAATATAAAAATATATCTTGTAAGAATATCCTCTAAAGTAATTGTATTGTGCAACAAATTAATAACGTTTTCAGGCGTCGTTCATATTTGAGTAAATATACTTCGAATTTGTCAATATTTATAAACACGTAAGACAAAAGAAAAGTAGGAAAAACATGAGTAACAAAACTCAGAAACCTGAGTACTTTAAGAAGGAAAATTTACTTCTCGACAGCGTTATGGGTTCTTGACTTGTGTTAATATTTAAAATATTATTGTTGTTGTTGTTGTGTTTCTTTTCTAGTTGATTCCTTACTGTCTGCAAAATACATTTTCAGTTTTATGTATAACCCTAGCTGTTGTTTCATAAAAAAGCTGTAGTTTATATCCCAGTTTTCTTTACTTGTTTCATAAAAAGGTATAGTTTATACCCCAGTTTTTTTTACTTCTTTTATACAGAGGTATAGTTTATACCCCCGGGTTCGAATCCCCGTCACACCAAACATGCTCGCCCTTTCAGCCGTGGGGGCGTTATAATGTGACGGTCAATCCCACTATTCGTTGGTAAAAGAGTAGCCCAAGAGTTGGCGGTGGGTGGTGATGACTAGCTGCCTTCCCTCTAGTTTTACACTGCTAAATTAGGGACGGCTAGCGCAGATAGCCCTCGTGTAGCTTTGCGCGAAATTAAAAAAACAAACAAACAAACAGTTTATACCCCAGTTTTCTTTACTGTTAGCTTCATTAATAGTATTGATTGTAATATTTAAAATAGTCGCGAACATTATCATATTTATTATCACTAATTTTAATCTCATGAAGATTAGTTTTTCTAACTAAAAACGGATGGATGATTTTAGGATCAACCTAAATCTTCTAAGCTGATAGAGCTTTGTGAGATAATATTGGATTTACGACTTTGTTTGTTGTTGTTAAGTACAAGCTACACAATGGACTAACTGTATTGTGCACACCATGAGTATCAAAACACAGTTTTAGAGGTGTGAGCTCTCACATATATCGTTGAGCCACTAGAGGGGGTCAATTTATGACCAAAAGTATTGTTAACAGCGAGAGCACCCAACTAATGATTTGAAGCATTCGAAGCGTCATAAGTTTCAGTTTTATTGTGTTTTAGTTTATGACATTATGCACTTATTGTCAGTTGGCCAATTATAGAATTGACTTCATTAATTCATGTTCATTTTTTAAATTTTGAACTATAGAGTTGACTTATTTTGATTCAGAAGTTCTTGTTAATTTATTTATATTTTTGTTTCTATATCTTGTGCTCGTTAGTTTCAAGGACCATCACAGCGTGTTTGCTAACATGGGGAATGACGTTTATATTTCTTAGTTCTTCTGTAGAACGTTTTAGTTTTCTAAATCAGTTTAAGGTTTGAAATCTATAATACACATAATTTTTCGCTTTCAAATGTACCTGTAGCTATCTAGTTGAGAACACAGTGATTTCCTTTATACAGTTAGTATTTGTTTCTCTCGATTTCCGCATTCTGCAGCTACTAACCGGACGGAATTCTGTATGGATACAAATCATAATAGAGTATGTTGTTACTGAATATATAAAAATAACACGTTTTTAGACATCAAACCATGTGAATCAATAAGATACAGAAGGAAGCAGAGGATGTACTGAACTAATATATACTAACTGCGCAAATAAAACGAAGCCAGATATAACGTATAATCACATACTTACTTAGGCAACATGCTACAATACAATATTGCCTGGATGGAAAACACGTTTAACAGGAACGTGAGTCTGTATCAGAATGTAAGTACAGTATACATAGTCCTGTATCAAACATACCACATTTTCATTCTTTAGGGCATTTCTTTCTATATGTTTATATTATTATAAAATAGACGAGCTTCAAAGCCAATGCAAGGACACTATTTGAAATCCAATTATATGTGTTTCTTATATATATAAAAGTTGGATTTCATATGTATGTGAATTTATTATAACTGTTTTTAATTTGTCGTATTACTACAGATTTCTAGGGAACACCTTTCTCTTCAAAGCTGTAATGAATTGGACGTAGAAAATAAAGGTGTGATATTACGACATCTTCAGACAGTGATGAAAAAATCAAATAACATAGTAGCGATTTGTCAGTTTTAGAATCATACCACTTATTTGTATGTGGTCATAATACGAACTGACGTGTCTGCCATGTGTTATGCGTTTTTTTAACGAATTTTCTTCCAATTTGTAGTTGTTGTGGTGGTACTCAGACTAATTTGGATATTTCAAACGAAAACAATGAATGAATCATATAGCTAAACAGTGATGAAATTATGCAAACAGTTGTACAAGAAGCGACAGTACTCTTTATCTTCCAGAATTGCGTATTATCATGTGAAAAACAAAACAAAACAGAATTTGGATAACGTAGCTGCTTATGCCATAATTTCAAAAAAGAAAAATTGTCTCAATTAAAAACAAATCAATACTTATTTGTATATATAGTTCTCATGTATGAGATGCAACCTATTAATATAAAGGCCGGACGTGGCCTAGTGATTAGCCTGCTCGGAATGTGAAGCCGAGGGTTCGCGGTTCGCGTCCCATTGTCATAAAACTCGATCCGCATTTTGGGGCTGTGGGTGCACTGTAGGAGTGACGGTTAAATCCTACATTTCGGTTATACAAGAGCTGGTGATGGGTGCTGTTGTTTCTGACTTGCATCCATCTACTCTCTCAGTTCGAAATTACGAAAGGCTATGCACAGGTGACTCTTGTGTAGCTTTGAGCGAAAATTCCAAAACAAACAAATGTATGAATAGCACCATACCCGTTACAATAGTAAGTGTGTCAATTAATAATTGTCTTTACGCTCTCCATCATAAAATGATGTCAACTAAATGATGACTATCAAGAGTAGATATACTTGTTTTTGTAATTCGACACATGATTTGAACTATCAATTTCACCAGCCCTTAAGTCATGAGTATAACTTGTATTAACTAGCTACGATATTACTATCTAAATGATGCACATTAAGACGCTTGATTCAGAACACTTGGATACAACACATTTTAATTTTATTTAAATATAGAGGTACGTTTAATTGGCGTACTCTATCAGCCAACATGTTTTAAGCTCTATATGAAAATGAAATACCTGTTTTGGCGTTGAATGCCTCCGCATCATACCTGTCTTGGTATTAAGGACCTCCACGTCATGTATGTCTTGTTGTTAAGCGCTTCCACGTCATACCTGTCTTGGATGAGTGCCTCCAAGATAAGCCTGTCTTGGTGTCGAGTGCTTCCATGTCGCCTCGGTAGATATCTTTAATTTAATATTTTACAAAGCATAAATTAATGTAATCTCATATTGATTCAGATATTATTTTCTTATGATAAATGTAAGTATATATGATTGAGATATTAGATAGTAAAAAGCACATCAAAACTGCGTTGATGCCGATTACGTACTCTTATCACCCGAGCTCTTTATAATAAGAGTTTGACTGACACTCTTATAACGCACTAACAGCTTATGATAAATGTAGGTATATATGATTGAGATATTAAATAGTCAAAAGCACATCAAAACTGCGTTGATGCCGATTACGTACTCTTATCACCCGAGCTCTTTATAATAAGAGTTTGACTGTCACTCTTATAACGCACTAACAGCTTATGATAAATGTAGGTATATATGATTGAGATATTAAATAGTAAAAAGCACATCAAAACTGCGTCGATGCCGATTACGTACTCTTATCACTCGAGCTCTTTATACTAAGGGATTGACAGTCACTCTTATAACGCACTAACAGCTTAATGTGCGGGGAATATTTTATGGTATTTCAACACAGCTCGCTAGGTTTAAAATTCATATCTTAACCACAGTGCTAAAAAAAAAAGCTTACCACTTAAATTTGCACCAAAGTGAACCTGTGCTCCAAGTTTTCAATCCATACGCCTTACATATTCAGAATTACCTATCTCAACTACGCAGTTCTGTACAACCATTTATCTAACATAAACAAGTTGACGTGTGTTATCTCCAGCTGGCAAACAGTCAAGATTGGCACGTCTAGCCTCATTACTATCCCAAAAATGAAAGAAGAGTCTAGTCAAGCTAATGACACATATTTTAGTTGAAATAGATATTTTGAACTTAATATGGAAACTTCTGAAGGGCACTTATCGTCTATCATCATGCCGTTTTTTTTAAGTAAGTGTACAACAAAAGAAAGTCTATACAAGCAACAACAACAACGCAAGGTTTCGTAAACTCTCTGATTCAGAAGCAGTCAGAAATGAATGAAACAAACAAAAGAAACAAAGAAATCTTGAACCGTATCTAGCTTTCGTTATAACAAAGATAAAAGTTAACACCAGCTCAAAAACCAAACACCAGAATTCTTCGTCTGAAGATGTTTATGTTTGATGACTGACTTTTCTGTCGTCCACCTCTCCAATAAAGCAAGAATTGTTTCAGTTCCAGGCGTGGTTGCTTGTTATTATCAGTTTTATATATATAGTAACCAAAATAGTACTTCTAAAATTAAGAAAAATAAATAAAGCTGAAAACTAAAATCACGTGTTCGATATAAACCCGATGCTTTTTAAATCGCAACCCACTCTATAGTGGGTGAAGAGTGAGTTGAACGAAGAAAGAGTTGACCAGCTAAGTCCGACAAAAGGACCATCTGTAACTTAAACGCATTTTATAACCGCCAGATGGTTCTACTTGTGTACTCAACGTCACACGTGTGGGAGAAATAATACCGTCAACCCCTAATATTGTCACACGGGCGAGACATGGCCGGTATCCAATACCGTCAGGCTTGATATAAAAGTGTGTCGCGTGCAGCTGCTCATATCCCCAGTGTTTACGGGCTGTGCTGGGTTTGTCTATGGCCCACGAATTCTCATTTTCCTTTATCTTGCTCTCTCGTGTTGTTTTCTGTGGGGATGTGTTGATTTTAAACGTTTTGCATTATATTTCGTGCTTTGTTTTAATTCATCATATTTGTCTGTTTTTGTTTTCCTTGACGAACGTATTAAGAAGTATTTCTGGTGTGGACAGCTGAGATTCTTCAAGATTTTCCAAAGCATAATTATTACCAGTAAAATAACATTAATGCGGAGCTAGGTAAGTTATAACTGATTTAAGAATTTTTCTTTAGCATTCTGAAAGAAAAACAAAAACTCTACATGTTTCAAGAAGAATACAGTTATATCCAATAAGCTTTAGTTTGTCGCTATTTGTAATGTATAAACTCTTTTTTTTCTTAAATTGTCGAAGATTTCTTTTGAAAAGTTATGTAATTAATTCATATATTTTTCAACTTAAGTTTTTAAAGTCAATAAAAGTTTAAAAACTAACGAAATTACTTTATTCTGGCTACTTTGTACAAAATCTAACGGAAGGACTGTATTCTGGTTACTTTTTACAAAGTCTGTTCTCTTTATTTACCACATCACTGAAAGCCCTCTACTGGCGAACGGAAGTAATGAGGTTTTTAAGTATTTATGAAATTAAATTAACTTTATTATAAAAACTTACTCTACTTCACAGTAAATTTAAATAAAGAGGAATTAAATTATATAACGAAACGTTTGATAATCCAAAGATAAGAGCATTCTATGGTTACATCTAGCGAAGTAGAGGATAAGATTTTTCAACATTTTAAACCTCATTAGTTATTTGGCACGACAATAAAGGTCCATATATATACAGTTGATCACTCGATAGTTTATATCCAGGGCCCACTGCGCATCTCCTGGTTTTACCACTTCAAAATCACAGGTACTGAACACACTGAGCACTATTTATATAACGCTTAAACTGCACAACAGTAATTAGTTGACATTTACTCGGAACACTGGTTTCTGTCTTGTGTCCCCGAGAATCATCTATCACTCGTGATCTTGAACTCTAATATTTTGACCACAATGCTTTTAAAGTTACGACTATCAACTTGGTGTTTTACTCTAAGTACTTGATAATAACGAATTTGGGGCACAATCTTAGTATTTACTGTTTCCGAAGTACAGTCTGTAAAACGCCAGACTTAGAAATGATAATTCTTATTAATATCACGCTGTTTTTATTCTTCTTCTTTTGTATTGCAGTGAAAACTATCTCAAACTCCACGAACATGATGTTGTATTAAAAGAGTCTTTTTTATTTATTAAATCAAATAATCTCCAGTTTTAATTCTCGCATCTGTATCCACGTAAATCCAAGTGCTTTAACAAATCAGTTGTTAAGGGAAGCCCAGATGATCAGACAGAAGAGACGTTGTTTTGAAATTATATGTGTGTTGAATTTAAACAACAAATTTCCGTTGCCAAAACGGCTTTGAGTTAAAAATAAAATTACAGACAGATCTGTTGGACAAAGAAGCGTGTAATTTTCGCCGATCTTTTGCAATATGTATTTGAAAGTAAGCTTTAAATTACCGACAGTTCCATAAAAGAGTAACGTAAATCGTCTGGTTTTAAAAACTGGACTGCTGACACTGCTTAAAATCACTCCAATGAGAGCTGCGTCTCAAATCCCAACCAAATTTAGGAGCTCGACAAGAAAACTATAAAGGAGGCTATTAAATACCACTTACATTTACTTTTTAATGCATCTCAATCGGCATTAATTATTGAAGCTTTTTGCCCTTTAAACCAGTTGCTCCTGTCGAAAATAAGATCTCTTCATGCTCTTTAAACCCGCTGCTCCTGTCTAAGATAAGGTTTCTCCTTGCCCTTTAAACCCGCTGCTCCTGTCAAAGATAATGTTTCTCCTTGCCCTTTAAACCCGCTGCTCCTGTCTAAGAAAAGGTGTCTTCTTGCCCTTTAAACCCGCTGCTCCTGTCTGAGATAAGGTCTCTTCTTGCCCTTTAAACCCATTGCTCCTGTCGAAAATAAGATCTCTTCTTGCTCTTTAAACCGCTGCTCCTGTCTAAGAAAAGGTCTCTTCTTGCTCTTTAAAC